CAATAAGTCTCAAGTCTATTAGAAGAGGCTGGATGATTTAAAATCTTTCACTGCAGAATGGCTTGTCGTAGTCTTGTTTCACAGACCATTTTAGGATTTTCGTTATAAAGACTAAGGGCATCCTAAAGAAGTTGTGAGGTAGTAGAGAGACATGCTCAATAGCATAAAGCCCTCGTTCGATTAAGAGCTAAGGGGTATTGGAAATATAATATATATGTTTATGCAATATAGACACACACATATTCTGCTGCTTTAAAAATATTATGTTAATCACCTATTGATTTATTTCAAAATCAATGGAAGTTCCTTTCTTATTAGTGATTTGTTCAGCATTCTTGAGGACTGTGTTAATTTCCTTAAAGAGTATGCATGAATTGGCTTGGTGTGGAAGTATTTGGGAGGGCTTTTCATTTAGCAATATTTCCCTAAGAAATATTTCTAGAAACCATTGTTTTTCAGAGTAATAATCAAGTGTTGTCATGTGCATACGTTGTTGTCGTAACTATCATTGCATTCTGTGGCTGAATGATTTAGCTGATATCTGTTACTGGAGGCCTTCTCCAATTCATTTTACATTTATTTCTAGTACTGAGTAGGCACAATGTTTTTTTTAACCCTCTTGGAGAAACACATTTGTAAAAGAAAATATGTGATTTGATTGGAAATAATACAAAGCAGAAATTTGGGAGGTCAAAATAAAAGATTGTGACTTTATCACATAATCTTGGGAAGGCCTACTGTCTATCATTTGGTGGTGGTTTATAGTCTAAAACCATCTGGACCAAGTTCCGCACAGCTGCACGAATTTCATATGTGATAGAACATTTTTTCCATTCAGTGTGAAATGTTCCTTCCTAAAAAACGTACACCAGACTCGCTTAATTTAGTCTGTTAAAAGAAATGCACATGAAAAAGGACAAAAGGCTCTTTAATCTCTGCAAGCTGTTTGTTTTTCTTCAAGATTCCTGTCTGTTTGGGTTTGAAAAGTCATGTTTATTGAGGGGATGATTCTGAGGTGTGACATTAAAATAATATATGATTTTTGGACTGGTGGCCATGCTCCTGCTTAATTTGCAGAACTACTTTTTATGCCTGTCAAAACATAGAGTTAATCTATCCTTATTTACAATTAATCTCAATAAAATTAATCTTAACTATGCTTTATTCAGTGGCTTAAAATATCTAATTATATTCAATTAACTGCTGTCATAGTAATTAACATTGCTTAATTGCCTCTGCATATATTTATGTAAAGCTCATTAGGTGCTGATGCTCCCTTTTCCCTTTCTATTTGCTATTTTTGCTGTTGTCAAACCATTTTCATCTCCCAAGGTCCCACAATGTCAGTGAGAGCAAATTCTTAACATTTTCTTGAAATGAATGTTATTGCTTTTCTATGAGAAGATATTCATTATAAGTCTTTAAAGACTAATCCCCCCCTCCCCAATACACACCCTGGTTTTCCCTCATCCTGGTCCCTACCACACTCACAAAATATTTTCTTCATTGTTGCTAGAAATATGAGAAGCCAGGTTAAGCTTTGTGTTTATAAATGAGGAGCCTTTCTGTGTCTGCCTAGGGGCTATACCCACAGGCAGAGTTTTTATCCTCTAAGACCATTCTAAGGGTTAAAGACTTGGCCAAGGTTCAAACTGAAAAGCGCCCAGGGAAAGTGCATGTGAATATGTACAAGTTTCATGTAATTAGTGCTTAATTATATTAACATATGCAAATTGTCAACTTAGGAGCTTGTTGAGCTGGCAAAGATCAGCTAGGCACAATTGCTGTATTGTTCTGAAACAATAATGGATTTCAAGTTGGATTGTGGAAACACATAACTAGCTATCTAATTTAACTCATACCATGGTGAAATTTCATTAGTCTCCATGGAGACTGGTTTAATTGTGCTGACTAATGTTCTGGGCTGCAGAATGTCCTAAAAAGAAAGCGTTGTTTGCCTAATCCACCTTACAATGACACTTGTTTGTACATGTTTCCCTTGTGTGAGAATTTGCATATGCAAATAAATAGTTTCTCTGCCCCATTTGTCATGGCTGTTCATTACCCATGAAGAGGACATTGTTACTAGGCTGTTACTGAGTCTCCCAAGACAGGATAGTGTCAACCAGTCCAACTACATTCTTTCATAATTTGTTTCTGATTAATAGACCAGAGTGAGTCTCAGTCTCTTTGGGCATCTGCAAAAGGAAGGTCAGTTCTGTCACAGAAAAGAGTTTCTGCAGTATACTGGGGGACTTTTTCTTCTTCTGATCATTCTCCTTTTTCCATTCATTGGTTAACACCATCATATTTAAAATAATGTATTCTTGTTCTAAGAATGCCTCTACTAATAATCTCTAGTTTCCTAAAGCTAAAAGATAGCAAAAGAAAGGGGATTCTGTTATTGGAATATTAATCCTGTTTTTGACAGAAAGGTAAACTGATATAATTGCTTTTCAGTTGAAGGAATGGGGGTTTATACAAGTGTGAAAGCATCGGA